AGAGCAAAGATGCAGGGAACATGAGTGATTTGTTTGTCCATCAGCAAGTTTAATAGGGTATATGAATAAAACTATAACTTAATTTTGTCTGCAAATGGCCCAGTTTAAATGCCTTCCACTGGGAAATGTATCTCTGAGTGTTTTGCATTAAGCAGTGCCATTGATTCTTGAGTGTGTCACATGACCTTGACCAGTCCCTCCCATGCGTGGGCATATTGTCCAGTGACCGAGAAAACACTGTGAGAGATTTTTCATCATGTTGCTTTTTTTTTGGTCTGGGTAATCCTGTGCATTCTGAATTTCTGTTTTATCTTAAGGTACAGAACCAAAAATATACAAGAGACTCTTTATAAATGGTCAAAAAGACGTTTGTTTTTCTTTTCAGTTGTTTCTTGAAAACTGAAATTTGGTTCCTTAGCATTTGTTTCCTCTATTGTGCATGCATGCAAGTTTATGTGTGACAAAGGATTGCTCACAAGCTCTAGGATATATGCGCTGATTTGTTATTGTGGCATTGCTCAGAAAGGGTGAGTTTTGTTGTAGGCATTGCTAGTAGTATGCTTAAGAAAATAAAGCATTAAAGCATTTATTGTTTTGTGTTGTAAAAGACTTGACGACTCAAAAAATTACACTGATCTTGAAGAAAGGTTTTTAAAAAATAGGTCAATTTTTCCCCCCACCAATTGTTCTTGTAGGTAACTATCTATGTTATCTCCCTATTTTCTTTAGTGACTTCTTGCAGCTAACTGCAGTATTCCAAATTGATGTGCTATCTTATGTCTGCTTGGTTGCTCTTTAAAGAAAAGGCTACTTTTGCGTGACTCTAAATTGCACTGAAAAGCAATTCCTCTCCATAAATCCTTAAAACTATGCACATTTCAAGTTGAGTATCAGTCTTCCCTCTTTCTCCTTTTTGCCTCTATTTTCCCATATGGAAAATCCCTGTAGTGTTTAATAGAAAATAATAGCCACCCTATAGAATTTAATAGGGAATCATATCTGTGCTGTAGAATTCTGTAGTATGGCTAAAAACTTACAGGATTTAATAGAGAATCATACTCATCCTACAGGTTTGTTAAGAGTAACTTTATAGAATCCTACTAAATTGATATTGTTTTATCCCTATTAAATTCCATAGTACTTTTCCATAAGAGCTATTATGGCTGATAGGACACTGTGCCTCTGTTTCAAGAAAACTACTCTCTTTAGCCAAAGATTAGATGGTCTCCTGCTATTAAGGCACTTCTCTTAAAATAAAATAATTTAAAAAGCCAGTGCCGTAGAATGCTCTTCATCTGTGTAGATTTAAGAGAGTACTGAAACATGCCAGGAGGCATTGGCCCTGGTTCCTAGGAAAAAAAAAAAAACAGACCAGGAGAGAAACATCGTCATTTCACAAACTGCATTAAAATAAGGAAAAAAAAGCAAAACATTTAAGTATGTGACAGAATTATACTTATGAGTTTTCGTAAGCTTCAGTCCCGTTACAGGGGTCCACGTCACAAAATAATGTGGCGCCCTTGTTGGCAGACTCATTAAAGTTGGACTGAATAGGTCATGGAGTTTCGTCCTCCCTATAAGTAGTTCCTGTAGAACAAGAGGTGTGCCCTTTGAAAAGAATAGTAGGAGGAAGGCTGCTGCTGTGAATGCTATATTTGTTTGAAAGATAAACTAGGGAGTTTAGCTCTCCAGTGCTATCAATTCAGCACCTTTCACAGGCATAAAATTAACTGGATCTTTTAAGAGCGGCAATGGTGGCTCTTAAATAAATAAATAAAGCCAACAGTTCAGCAACACTGTATGGCTGTAATAGCACCTGATCTGCCATTTAAATGGACAAGGTGTGCCACTTAACCAGTATTTTGAGACATTGAAATGGATTCCCTGGCAATTATCCCAATAAATTCAGTAGGTGCTGTTTATTCTGGGATTTTACTGTATTTGGAAACATACTTGTTCAAATATATAATCCTATTGAGCATTGCTACAAAAACTGCCAGTGAAAATAAGAGGAGCCTTGACCCCAAAGTTATGCATGGAATTAAACTTGCACCTTTTAAAATAAAAATGAAAACATGCTGAATTCTTTGCTGACTATGCCTTTTCTGAAACCAGCTGCTCTGCACATGTTTATTTTGCTTTATTTTTAGTTTGGCTGCTTTCCTCTCCTTTTTATTATTAAATGCATTTTCATGCATGCTCTAATGTCTGCTGTTAACCCACTTCTCAGCCCAGAGACGGACTCGACCATGCGGACGAATCTCCTTCTCCTTCAACATCTCTCCGCTCATCCCTAAGTCTAAAACTCTCTTTTCTGTTGGCTCTTCTTCCAGTGATGAGGAGGAGTTGGATAGTAAGTAATCATTTTACATGAACTGCAGCCATTATGGGTGGAGGTAAAGGGAAGGTATTTCTGCTTTTTAGACCTGGCTGTTTTAGCTTGTGAGCATTAAGCTAATCTTTCCATTGCATGATGCCTAACAGCTTCACCTTCGCCGTTGTGTCTAAATGCTTCAGGAACAGCATAATGAAAGGATTGTAATCCAAAGTTTTTAATATTCCAACATCTTGACTTCTCAGCTAATTAGTTTTTGCTGTGTTGACAATATTCTTCCTTTCTGACACATCAAGGAGGCTGGAAAAGGTTGATTGTATCAGGTCAGTGAGTGTGTTGTACCAACTGCCATGGGAATGCGAAATATTGTTGTTGGTCTTTTAAAACAAACGATTATATTGTGGATATTCCAGCACGCTGGGAATATCAGTAGAGATGGGACCCCAAACCATGTGTGTGGATCTGAATGCTCATAAACTGCACTGGCGAGAGTTTGTCCACTATGGGCATTTGCTGTCTGAGCATTGATGCGGATTAGAATTTCACAGCTGCCCCGTTCTCTGGTGAGTTAAAAGCACACATCTGAGCCGAACACGCTTAAATTTCGGGAGCTCAGAATCTGGGTCCAGATTTTTTGAGGCCACGCCTGTAGTGTTTTTCCCTCCAGGACAAAGATGTTTATGCAATGATTTGGGGTTTTGGTTGGTTGATTAGGTTTTTTGTTATGGCTTACCCCTCTCATTGTAGTAAAAGAGACTTCTTCCCAGACAGACTTTAAAAAAAAAAAAAGGTCATCCTGCCAGAAGGCAGAGCGACCATTTAAAATCAGAATAGCCCAGGCTGTCTTGTGTTCTTTCCCTCAACCATCCCATTATGACCAGTAAGCTTTAAAACTTGAGTTTATTACTTCCCCAGAACATAAAAATGTTCCATAAGGTGGGGGCTCATCACTTGGAAATGAGAGAGGAGGAGAAAGACCTGGTTGTATTAATCATCTGTAGGATGACTATGAGCCACCAATGTAATGCAGTCACAGAAAAAACAAATGCGATCCCGGGATATATCAAGTGAGATATTTCCTGTAGAGATAGGGAAGTATTAATGCCATTGTAAAAGGCACTGATATGTCCTCATCTACAATACTATGTACAGTTCTGGTCACCCTCTTGAAGAAATATGAGGTCAATCTGGAAGAAATATGAGTTCAAACTAGCAGAAAAGGGCTACTAGGATGATCAGGGGAATGGAGAGTCGATCTTACAAGACAAGACTAAAAAGAGCTTGGCTGGCTTAGCCTATCAAAACAAAGGCTGAGAGGGGATACAGTTGCTCTCTCTAAATACATTGGGGGTAAACTTCAAAGTGGGATAGGAGCTATTGCAATGTTGGTACAAGAACAAATGGGTATAAATTGACCATGAATAAATTTAGCTGGAAATAAGGTGGTTTCTAACCATCATAGAAGTGAGGTTTTGGAACAATGGGAGTACAGGGGGCAAACTACCACACTGCTTGGAAGATGGAACTTGACACCTTTATAATCTGATTATATGATGGAGTTGCCCACAATAACAGGAGACTGGACTCAGTGACCCAAGAGGACCTATGTCCTGTGCTCCTACTTCGCTGGGTGTTGGTTGTAATCCCTCTCAATCAAACAGTTCTGTGATGGCTTTATATAAAGGTTGCTTTAGCCACAGGTATTTTTAGATACAATAACCCTAGACTTGTATTTTTTCTGCCTCTCCAGGGCTCATATCTGACAGAGGAGATGGATGCATTTACTTTCAGATCAAGTGTGCATTTTAATTACCTTCCGCCAATATCTCTACACATCCTTTGGAATGACACGATCATATATTTAGATTGCCTTTTGGGGGGGGGGACGAGTTGCAGATTTCAGATGGGTAAATTATTACTTGATGAGCTGGTCTGTACATTTTACGGAAAGTTTAGTTGGTTGTGAGCAGGCTTTTGGAATTCTTTGGCCCCCTTAAGTTTAATTACTAGCTGTCCTAGGGTGCTGCAAGCTGTTTTCTGTCATTCAGGCATTCTCATTGGAATATGCCAATCCTGCAGCTTCTTCCTGTATCACAAAACTTATGAATTATTTTAAGTCCATCTACCATATGAAATTATTGTTGATGGTGAAGTTCAGAAGGTTCAGATGTTCAGATAAGCACCCAAAAGTCTGGCTGCTTATCCAGACTCATTGGAGTTGCACAGTGGGGCTGCAAATCTCAGAAGAATAGGCTTTTTCAGGTGCTATCCAGTCAGGGCACTGATGATTTTCTTGCTGTTGCCCAGCACTTCCGCTTTTGGTTCCAGGCAGAGCCAGGAAGCACCGAGGTAGAAGGAATACAGAAAGTATCGAGGGAGGAAAATCTCTGTCCATCCCTCTGTCTGTTTTTATGGCGAATATAACAGGTATCTGAATGCTGTCATACAGTCCTTTTTGAAAACGTTTAGTTTTAGGTTTAGTAAAAAGCAGTTTAGTTCAGAATTTGGGTTGGTTCTTATTTTGTCTGGGTTGGTTTGCACACCACTATCAAAGGTTCTCTCTGTTCAAGGTAAAGTATTGTCTCACGCTACGGGACGAACAGCAACTGCATAGTTGAAATGCCATGCAGCTCAGGAATTCTCAGAGATGCTGAAAACTGGATCATGAACAACAAATTATTGCAGCTCTTGATTAAATGTTGCTTCATCCCACTTATTCTGGTGACGGTATAGGATGGTAAAATACTTCATAGGTTTTATATGGAGTGTTTAAATTCAGTCAAGCAAGATGATGGTTAAATATATAGAGAGGCGAGTGAGCGAGCAAAGAGGTTTAACCTGCGTTGACGAGTAGATTGAAGTTGATATGAAGAGCAGAGTCCACTATGAAGTTCACCATGGACAACAGTTTGAGCTTTTAAATTACTTGTTCAATGCTTAGATACTCAGGTAATAGGTACTATTCAAAAACCGGAGATAGATAGTAAATGGTATGGAATTTGATTGAATTAATATCATTGCGCTATGTGATGGATTTGAGACAGATCACTTGCTAGACTAAAGGCTCCACAGAGGACATACAAAAAGGGTCTCCTAAACCAAGACTAGGTGACCAGGTTAGGCCACTATTTAATTCATGAATATCCAAGAACGAAAGGTTAAAAAAATAGCCTTTTCTCATGCTATTCTAGGAACTGTAGTCAGTAATTGAGACTGTATTTATTTTAGAAGTGGGGATGGGACGATCCTGAAGAAATGTGGTATTTTAATAAACTTTATAGCCTCTGGGTACTGATCTGCCCTTTGCTTCGGATGCCAAGTGCTAAGTTCGTTTGCATTAGCTCTTAGCTCAAGCTTCTGTTAACCATTGTTCTTATGGCAATTACAAAATCCTAATAAGAAGACCAGCTATGTTGCTTGCTGTCATTATAGCATGTTTGAAAATACTTTAAAGGGGTCCTTTAGAGTCCTGCCATGCCTACTTCCTGGAGGAAGGATCAGGCATCTTTCTCCATCTGAAATGATTTATTTGGATTTTTTTAGCATTCCCAGATACTAAGCAGCTACTCAATACATCTAGCATTAGCTAGATAATCTGCTCCAAGCAGACTGTGTAAGCAGGTTTCTTGGTGAACAAGAGGAATTTGTGTCACTGGAGGACTTCAGTAGCATGTTGTACATCGTTTTTTCCTAGAGCACAATTCTGGGTGATTAAGCTCTGCCTCTGTAGACATTTCAATGGAAAAATTAATAAGGCTTCTCTTGTTTCCCTTATCCTTTTATTACATGCTTAAGGGTTGTGAGGGGGAAATAAGCTATAATTTTATCAACTAGAATTCTGTTTTATACATGAAATAAGGACGTATTTTACAATAGATTCATTCTGATGGAGTATAAATAAAAGCACTGAGGCAAAGTCTCTCGTTTTCACCTATTATAATTAAATTAGCAGTTTGGAATTATGCACCCTTAATGTACCAGTGAAGATCATAGATTCACATCCTTTGCCTTACAGCTGGTGAATGATAAAACTACTAAGCAACCCACCTCTTTTTCCACCTCTGTCACTAACTTGGAATCCCATGGCCTGTGGTGAACATTCTTTCCCCTGGGCACATGAAGAAACATATCTGAGCCCTTAACTTCTAAACAGTCCCCTCTTTTTCATAAACTACCTGAATCCAGGAACTATGTTTTTAGCACTACTGTGGGCAAGACTTCGCAGTCTAACATTTTTGTTTAATCTTTTCCAGGCACACGATCGTTCAACAGCACCAGTAGTTCATTGTCTCAGAGGTACAGTACTGTGATGGTCTGATCTTTTCTCTGTTGAAATGCCCAAAATATAGATCTGATTGTTTTTTTAGAGGTATTGAGCAGTCCTAGCCTCTCTTGACTTCAGTGGGATCTGCAAGTGCTCAGACCCTCTGAGAACCAGGCCAATATTTCTGTACATTGAAGAACAGTTTAGAATGATAAAAGATTTCTTAAGATTGCCACACTGGGAATGAAGACGGGTCCATCCATCAGCTTTTCCTGAACAGTAGTTAATTCTGGATGTTTAATGTTTATTCACACATAATAAAAGTTTAGAATATTATTATTTTATTATTAATCAACATAAATTTACACCAGACCCAAATATTATTCCCACATTTTCCCTTTCCCTTTGTCTATTTTTTTATGATTGCAGAGATTCTCATGTTTTTTAGATATACTTTGTTCATCCTTGCATGGCTGTAAGCGGAGATCCTCTGTTCTGACTGGATGCTTGCTTTAATAGTTCCTTTCTGCATGGGGGCACGATAGCATTTGTGGCATCATGGGAGCTGGGTCTTTGATCACTGCTTCATACTTTGTGCTACTTCTCCTGACAGCTCTGGCTTGTCTGACTTGCCCAGAAGGCTCTTAAGCACCTTTTATTGTTGTTTTCCTCTCCCTTTGGTTTCTTCAGCTGACTGTTTCACTTTTGTATTCTGGCATGTCTTGGAAAGATTGTGTATCTTATGTGGAATATGACTCCTTTATGTACATCCCTACAGTGTTTCCTTTCCTTTTGGGGTGGGGGAGTGGAGGAGTGTGGGGGGGAGGAGGTATTTTAGTTTTCTCCTTTGGAACTTAATTCTTACAGTGCATGCTGGGGATTTGGACAGGAAATGGTGCGTGTTTTTATAGGATCCGGTGTCTCCTACTTCCCTAACGTAATAAAAATGCTCCTATTTATTTGTACTGTGGTAGCATCTAGGAGCCACAGTGATGGACCCAAGACCCCATTGTGCTAGGCATTGTATGGATAGAACAAAAAGATGGTCCCTGCCCCACAGAGCTTACAATGTAACAGCCTTATAAAAGGCTCTTTAGTGCACAGCAGTGTGTTATCTTCTGAAATCTCTGACGTATCTTCTTATTTGCAGAGCACCAGGACAATCGTTTTATCCACTGCCACCGCCACAATATGGCTTCTCTTTTGGCTTTGCACCCCATTTCACCAGCCCCTTCTGAAATTATTGATAGCTCAAAGTTTGACATGAAATGAACCTCTAGATTAACAAATAAACACAAATTGAGTCCTATTTGCTGTGTTTTAAGGGACCAGTAAAAGTCAGTAGTCTAGCAAAGAACATTTTTAACAAAAGCTCTAATTAAATTATACTGGAAATATTGGGGGTACTTTATAGACAGGGTGCTTCCCAATGGACACTGTCCTTTGTGAAGATTTCACTACATATCTTTCTTTATAGCCATCTGCTCTGTGTGTGTTATGGAAGACACCCGTAGTTTATGCCAATAAGTTAAGACTGAGACTAGGTATATGTAGCCATACAGAATGGGAAATTGGTGACTACTGTGTTAATGAAAAGCTGTTTCTCCCTTAAAGCAGCAGAGGGCACAATGTCATAGTTTGAGACTATGAAGTACAGAAATATTACCAAAGAAACAATCTCTCGCAACATGTGACTGAGTGGCTGATTAGTGTTTAATCTTTAGCTTGTCATTATTCATATAAAAATGTAAACTGACCAATGAATCTGTTGGTTAGCTACAATAGCTGGATAAAAAAATGTATTTGCTCTTTTAAAAAAAACAAGGTTTCCTCTAAAATAACAAGGAGTCCGGTGGCACCTTGAAGACTAACAGATTTATTTGGGCATAAGCTTTCGTGGGTAAAAAAACCTCACTTCTTCACTTTACCCACGAAAGCTTATGACCAAATAAATCTGTTAATCTTTAAGGTACCACCGGACTACTTGTTGTTTTTGTGGCTACAGACTAACATGGCTACCCCCTGATACTTGACACCATGCAAGTTTTCCTCTAGTTTTTTTCCCTGTTCTGCATGATCTGGAAAAAAAAAAGTTAAAAAAACCCACAGTCTCTGTCTTTTGGCTTTAGTGTGTCTGAAGAGAGCGGCAACTTCCTGCCTCCCAGCCCCTCCAGGAAAGATTTAGAAGGGAAAGGTGGAACAAAAGTCAGTCGCACCTTCAGCTATCTCAGGAATAAAATGTCCAGCAGCAAGAAGAGCAAAGTAAGTGGCATCTGGTGCCCATGTGTTATTAATCATGTTTATTATGTTAGTGCCATGTGCTTAATGTTCACCTCCCTGTGAATAAGACTTCTTAGTGTGTTGTTGAGAGCTCTTAAATGAATCCTTTTAGGCCTCAAAGAAATATGTTCAGTCTAACATAGTGCCTAGTGGCGAACACCAGGAATTACCACCGATTTCAACAGGACATGTACATTCTTGGGATGCAGCCCATAGAATGAAAAACAAAGTAGGGTGACCAGATGTCCCGATTTTAGAGGGACAGTCCTGATTTTTGGGGCTTTTTCTTATATAGGCATCTATTACCCCCCACCTCCTGTCCCGATGTTTGGAAACGCTGCTTATTCTGATAAAACAAGGTGCTTTTGGTAAAAGGCAATAGGCTCATTTCTGAAAGATGCTCTTTCAAGGTATTTTAAATACTTCTAAAATCTCTGTCACGTCTGTAACAGCCTCTGGGAAACTTGATGCTGTAATTGATTTCTTTACAGAGTTTCGTGTATTCTTGTGTTGGAAATGTAACAAAAATAGAATCACAGACATTAACATTTAATCACAGACATTTAACAGAATCACAGACATTAGAGGTGGAAAAGACCTATTCTATCCTGTTTACTCTATACCCCTGCCAATGCAGGGCTGTTCTCTAATTGCATTTCCAGTACTTTGCTCTCCAAAGGTTTCAGGGATTCAAGCTATGCAAATAACCACCACTTTCTTGGAGAGGTTATTCCATGATCTGATACATCCCACCATTAGGCAGAGTTTTCAGCCTAAATTTTCCTTTATGTAATGACATCCCATTGATCCTGAGAGACATTGGTTTGTTCACCTGGGGGCTGAGCTGCTGACATTGATTTTTAGATTTATTTAGAACAAAGCATGTATGTATTTATTTATTTTGGAGAACAAATCAGACTATGTAAACAGTTATCTGGAGAGGGAGGAAAACTAGGTCAAAATGTAAGTGTATCAATATGGAATGTGTCCTTTTAAGGACCATGTTACTGAAAAAGCAAAAACAAATATCTAGTATTCTATAGTTAGGTTTGCTGCTGTCCCTATATGTAAAGGGAAAAAGCTATTTTGTCTGCAAGGATTTACCCAGCTGTGCACATCTTATTGTGTCATAAGCTGTGACTGCCCAAGACAATAGTGCACTGCAAACCTTTCTAAGGCCTTGGCTACACTGGCAATTCACAGCACTGCACTTGCTGCGCTCAGGGGTATGAAAAAACACACACACACCCCGAGCGCAGCACTATAAAGCACCAGTGTAATCAGCGCCTGCAGCGCTGCACGCTCGCTCGCAGCTCTGCAAGCTATTCCCCTCGGAGAGGTGGAGTACTTGCAGCGCTGCAAGAGAGCTCTCGCAGTGCTGGCGGCGCGACACTCGCGCTTCACAGCGCTGCCAAGGCAGCGCTGTGAATCCGCGAGTGTAGCCAAGGCCTAAAAAACTGCAATTTGTGTGTGCAAAGGAAAACTAGCAGAATTTGCAATACTAAACGGGAGTGATATAGTAATTTCCACCTCCCAGTTAAAAAGTGTCTGTGCTTTTAGCACCTGATCAGTGATTATTTAAAACATTAGCACCTCTCCAAATTTCCAAAGCCCACAGATAAATGTATCATTCCATGCAGCTCTGAGAATCCTCATTGGCTGGAGAGATCAGGTTTCCTCTTGGTGAAACAGTATCATTGTAAAGGCAAGTCGAGGCAATAATCCAAACTAGCAACAGGAAAAGGGTGATGTATCAAGAATATAGTGCACGTGCCTGTGTGTTCAGTGTGGGTGCGAGTGCCACTCAGATTTTGTCTTCTTTCTTCTCTTCCTCAGACACTGTATTCACCCAATGTAACAGCTCAATTGGCTGAATGTTCCCCAAAGCCTTTTTGTTTTTAAAGGGATACTGCCTCATAAGTAATGATGGATTTTCCCCTTACTACTGAGTGACGGGAGTTTTTACAATTACACCGCTACCTTGATATAACGTGACCCGATATAACACGAATTCGGATATAACGCGGCAATGCAGTGCTCCGGGGGAGGGCGGGCCGGGCTGCGCCCTCGGGTAGATCAAAGTCAGTTTAGTATAACGCGGTTTCACCTATAACACGGTACGATTTTTTTGGCTCCCGAGGACAGCGTTATATCGAGGTAGAGATGTATATTTTTCCATTTGCTGACAGATTTGGATGGAGGTTTAGTTGAAGATATGAAACATTCATGGGCTCCATTATATTTGAATCTCTGGAGCCAATGATGACTCGTGCTAGATAAGTGTGTTGCTATATTTTCAGTTCAGGCAAGACAGAACTGCTTGTCTGTCTCACATGTTCTTTATGGTCTCCTCTGATCTTGTGGAGGACATGGCTCTTTAATAATTAATAATAGAGACCTTGTCATAGCTTGCATGTTATTAATAAACAATGACAAAGTATGTGTTGTGGTTGGCAAAAAAACTATTTGAGGCAGTGCTGGTAGCGCCACATATACTTGAGTTTGCCCAGCTCTTCCCGTTATAAGAGCCGGTTGCCAGTTGCTCATAACTTTGCTAGACTAGAACAGATTGCATTGAAATTCTAGGTTGGGTGCCTCCCCTGAGTGTTTAGGGTTTTTTGTTTGTTTTTTGGGTTTTTTTGTTTCAGCAGAAATACTTCAGTCTTTTACAAGAACAAGATTAGGGGAAAATATTTTGTTTTGCCGGTGTTGAAAACGTTTGTACATTTGGTTCATTAGGGCTACCATATGTCCGGATTTCCCCGGACATGTCCGGCTTTTCGGTCTATAAATAGCTGTCCGGGGGGGGGTTTAAAAATCTAAAAATGTCCAGGATTTCCCCCCGGTTGGCTATTGATGGACAGAAAAGCGGCGGCCAAGCACCGCTCAGCAGCCAAAGCACCTTCCCGGCTCCCTGCAGCCTTACTACGCCGTTCGGCCCCGCAGCTGTCTTCCCCCTCCTCCCCTCCCCTGAATGCTCCGCCCACTTGCTCCTCCCCCTCCCCTGCTTCCTGCGAATCAGATCTTCGCAGGAAGCCTGAAAAAAAGCAGGGGCAGGCGGGAGGCAGCAGCAGATAAGCTGGGGCTGGGGCGGGAGGGACGTGAGGAGGAGAGCTCTGGGGAGGCACGGCCCTGGCCGAGTGGCTCCCTCCAGCCCGGGCCGAGCAGTGCCCGGTGGCCCCAGTGGCTCCGGCCCTGGACCCAGTGGCTCCGGCTTAGCTTGGCTCGGGCCCCAGGGCACCGGCCTCGGTTCTGGCCGAGCACGCCAGCCTGGCCCTGGCTGAGCGGCGCCGGCCGAGCACCCCCGGCCCCAGCAGCTCCGGCCCAGCTCGGGCCC